AAGGATGGTGATGGAGTGAGTGCAGATTGTTAACTCTTTCTCCAGCTCTGGTTCCCAAGCTTTTTGTTACCTAGCAATACATTCCCTAGCAATACATTCTCTAGCAATAACATTGCAATGAGGCATATTTCTCCTGCTGAGCTCTTAACTTATTCTTCTGGGTCTTGGAGTGCATTTTAGGAATCATTGGTCTACATGGAGACAGAGAGTTGGTGCTTTACAGCATGAGGCAAGCAATTTTCCCACACATACCATCGCATGGGAGAACCTGGGAAGGGTCTAGATTCTCCTAAGATTTCTGTGCTCTGGGAGGAGATAAATCCAAAGGAGAACGTGGGATAAGGAAAGGGAGATGCAGTTGTTCATCGTTAGTTACCTGTCTAAGACTTTTGCTTTAAGCAGGTTTAGAAAGAGAAGAGGAGGCTTCAGGGCTTGGCTGAGTATTCGTTGGGGTCTCTGATACAAGTTTGCTTGCTTGGACAGCGTTACCAGAACCCAGGTGAACTGGAAGCCCATCAGAGGAAGATCCCTCCTGGAATGAGATTGTATTTCTGGAATATTTCTGTATTTTTCCTAGGAGTTTTGGAATGATTGCAGAATCAAGGAGGAGCCTCTAAGGGTTTGTCCATTGGGGTGGCCCTTGAGAGGCATGGCTTTTGTGCTTCGCTACATTTGAGCTAAGTAGTGGTTATGCAGCCATGAAATCAGATGCATTAGTTGGTTCTGTCTTTTGGCAGTAAATACATGAAATTCTGTGCAAATAACTGTTTCAGATGTGATCCTCAGTCCCATATCCTGTTTGCTAAACCTTCCAGAATTCAGAAACTGGTGCTAAGCTCCTAACTCTGTGTGTAGACAACTGGTACTATCATGATACCATAATATTGTCACAGTTCTGAGGGGCAAAACAATAAATGGACTTCGATATGCTGGCTGTGGTACAAACAGGGTACACATAGGAATGATCTGGCATGTGAAATCTCTGCAGCTGAGGTTCATGTTCATCCTAGTTCAGCAACAATCTTGCAAGACTTCAGGGAACATTACTTCCAGCCAGGGCTGCCTCATCTTGGACTGTTATGTTTAGTCCAAAAGGGTATTCTGTATGTTTTTTTTTCATCCACTTGGAGACCCTAATTTGAGTTCCTTGGGTCAATTTGTGCCATTGATCAAAGAAAATGCCTTGGCAGCCATGGGCACACGTGGCTTATTCCAGCCAACCGTTTCCTCCAGCAAAGCAAGCCAGCCCCTTATAAACCAGTGTCTCCCACTGAGCTTCTCTGCCCCTTACAGCTTCGGGTGGGTTTGGCCTTCAGGTTCCAAGGAAGAGCCTTTTGCTCTCCCTTCTCCTCCAGCTTCTATCAAGGAAGCCAGATCTCCTTAAAGCACAGCTGTGATTGAGCCCACTGGGCCCTGAAGCCTTTCCTTCATCTATGGATACAAGAGATTCATCTAAAGGACTGACCTGTCAAGGAGAGGATGGACTTGCAGGACTTGTAGCATCTCTTTACACAGGCAAAAACTAAAGCTGGCAGAGGCTTTTAGTTGGCTGCACCCAGGTCTTATGATCTATCCTTTTTAACTCCCTGCATAACTCTGTAAGTATTTTCAGCTCTTTCTCTGAAGGTCTGGTTCCCAGAGGAGTGGTGTTCCCTTTGACTTTGCTTAGAGCTCCGGGTGGGTGCTTGGTATTTCTGAAACATAGACACTAATAAATGACAGCCTCTGTCATAGCTATTAGTTGCAACCACTGCGTGTGTGGGTGGGTGTGCTTGTGTCGCTGTCAGACTTTTGTATTTCTCAATCCAATCATTGTTAATTACCATGGCGTTTAGAGAGAACCAGTTGCAGGGCATGCTAATTTGTTTTCTCCTTTATCCTAATTAACTCTTATACTAATGGCATCTTAATGTTTCATTCTTGTGTTCAAGCTACTAATACAATCGTACTTTTGCATGGTAGGTAGGTAATAGTCGGAGGGAGTTAAAAACAGAAAAAGAAATAGCCAAAATACTGTTTCTGATACAAAACACCAGTGAATGGCTGCCCTGCAATTAGTGGAAAACAAAGAGCTATACATTGCTTGGGGTGAAATTTAGATCATGCTTGTCATTAGACATTTTTCATTTTCCAACTTCTTCCTTTCAAAACAATGACTTAGTGCTTCAAAAATTAGTTTTTATATGTGTAAATGTTGCCCTTGATCGCCCTGTGTTGCTGCCTCTGAGCTACAAAGATCTTCCCCATCTTTCAAATACTGCAGAGGACATAGATCTGCTGTGCTAAGCACCAAGGAAAAACTTATAAAGAGGTTAATCATTCCCTATGCAGAGCAAATGCAATAAAGTAAATAAGATGGGAGCCACACATTGAATGAGGAAGACAAAAACAAATGGTTATATTATTATATTATACAGTTATACTATTTCCAGAGCATGGTCAACCTGTGACTAAATGACTCAGAAGTCCAGTGGAGAAAGGAGGGTATGTGACTGAGGACTATGTTGTAACATATACACAAAAGGGAAATTTAATTTGAGCAGTAGAGTTAATATTAATTTTTTAACTTTTGGGTGCCCAGCTTTGCAAACTAAGTACCTTTTTTAAACTTAATCTGTTTGAGATGTCTTAATGAATATATACTGAAAGTAAATCAAGTCCTCATTACTCTCAGAAGAAATTAAATGAGTAGTATTCTTCTGGTGAGTTCTTGTCTTTTTGGATGCCTTGAAATGAAGTTAAACTGTTTATCGAATGCTGGAATATGAATACATAATTTTATTTCTGAAAAATGAAAGGCTTTGTATAAGTGCTTCCTGGCTGTATTTATTAAAATCTAATATTTATGTGATCTAGCCAAACAATTGTATATGCAGATGTTGCCTCCTTGTTGTTTTGAATCAAATAATTAAAATTACTCTTACACCTTCTGATTCATATCCTCTCATGTCAGTGGTATGAAACACCCCACGTGCCTCAGGCCAGAGTGTGTGCTCTGTCTGGGCTCACACAGCACTGTTCCAGGGGCCTGCACATCTCACACCCACTGGACTGCGACACTTTTGCCTTTCCTGATTCATATCCCATTTCTCCATAGGAACAAAATCCCTACTTAGAGAGGAGCAATCCTCTGTGAGCCACACCTGGTGAAGACTCATTAGACAGCCCCCAGCAGGAAGAGGCTGGCATTCTTGCCATGAAAGGGCTGGAGATGGGCCAGTTCACCGGCCCTGGAAGTGCCAGGCCAGAGCAGGTTGCCTGTGAAGATCAGTATCTTCTTCTCCCTCCCACTCAAGTGTATTCCCAGAACTCCCATTCATCTTTGTCTCTTAGTCTTGTTACTTTCACACATCCACTCCCTAGTTTTCTCCAGCACTGTACGTGCACTTGGCCCCAACACGGCTGCTGGGTTAGTCCCTTGGCTATGATCAGCATTGAATCTGCAGAAGGTAGGTGAGCACGTTCAGTGTTGACATGGGAGAGGCCTTCTCTCTATGACAACTTTGGATTTGATCACTCCTGTGTGAGAACTGGGCTCACGGCTTTGGCATACTGGCTCTGTATGAGGCAGAGACCAGGCTTTGCACATGAATTCAAAGTAAATCTCTTTGTTCTGCATCCCAGGACCAGAAACTTCCCTTTTTTGCATCTTGTCTCACAGGTGGACATTACATCAGTGCACAGTCCCACAGGACTGCCTTGGATGAGACTTGTTCAAGCAGCTGCCAATAGCAAGGAGCAGAACTTGGAAGCATACTTAAAAAACAGCCAGTTATATTATCGCTCCACCAGGAAAATCAACAAAAATGAGGAGCTCCTGGTCTGGTATGATGAGGAGCTTTCCAGCCTCCTGGGTTTCAATGAGATAAAAACATGGAGTCTCCAAAATGGTAAGTACGAAATTGGTGGTTGTGCAGGGGTCACTGAGGACTGAAGTGAGTCTACAATGTCTTTAGTATGAGGTGTTCCTGTCATACAAGAAAATAAAGCCCATCTGACACTAGCTGGTCAGCTAAGATGAAAGACTTTCTACCTTGGAGATTGAGCCGGAGTCGTAGAACAAGAACACATACGCAGTTCTCAATGCCATTTTTGTTGTTACTTCCCAACAGAGGATAGAGCGCTAGAGATTAATGCTGGAATTTTTAAAGCTGTGTAAGGAACATCCTGTACCTGACTCCCTTGGGCTCCTAAAACCCTAACATATCAGTTGGAAATATGCCTTTTTTAGCTCCTTGGGGAGTCAGATATAGGCTAATGATCAGCTTTAATCTTGTAACTGAGCAAGGCTATAAAATATGTAACAACCCAAGCACTACTTCATACAGCACAGTCTGTCTATTTAGCCTGAAACACAGTAGGAGCAAGGAAAAGTGCATGGTTTTCATTCTGAGATGTTATTAGGAATTTATTGCTCTAAAAGAAATTGACTTAGCTATTGTAAAAAGAATACAGTTCAAGATTACAGAGAGACAAAGCAAAACTGGAACAAAACACTTTACATGATCTTTTTGGTTGATTTAAACACAACTTACATAGAGCTTGGGTTGGTAGATTTATAAGGTAATGTACTTGCCTGTAAATTAGTATAGATGCATTCATGGCAGGAGCCCACTAAATCATTTTTGACTGATTTCAGCCTACTCTGCATAGCTTCTGTGTAGACACACTATGTCAGTCTGAGATTGACTATATAACCCTATAAATTTACCAGTGCAAAGAGTTAACTACACAGGAAACACTTTATATAGACTCATGACTCTAAACCGGTAGGTATAATCTCCCACCAAAGTCAACAGTCTTATTTTGATATAAAAAGCTCAGTCTCTATAGTTTGGGAAGAGATCTAAGCTGTGCTGAACCTATAGAGTAGGATGTTGTAGTTTACCCAGCCAAGGCAGGAACTTTCCTATGTATCCCAGGCTCCAGGTGCATCTGGCATCATTCACGTTTATAAACTGCAGTGTGTTATGGAACACAGTAGCATGAATGCTGTTTCCAAAAGTTAAGATGTGCCATATGCCTCTTGGTCACTGAATTGTGTCCTTTCTGTTCATGGGTAATCAATCATCCCAATGAATCAGAGACGCAGTATATCTCTGCAGGCCAGCAGGAGATGGTATGTCAGTGCACCTTCCCCATTCTTCCTGTCCATCACTGGCATTGCCTGACTTAGAACATTATTTCCTGTGCCACAGACATCGGTGCCCTGAGATATATAGCAGTTTGCCAAGTGAGCATGAGTAAGGGCTTCAGGCATTGTTGACAGATGATTTGTAAAAAAGTATTAAACTTCCAGAGTATCCTCTGCAGAAAATAGAGGCTCATGCCAAAATCTTTGTGTCGAGCTTTAGAACACCTTGTAGATTACATGGGTATATAGAGTTTGATGTTCAGCCTGTATTAAAAGTTAGTGACTTACCTGCAAAATGCAGGCTGAAATCTAGGTTCAGACTTTGAACTACCATAAAGTTCATAAGCTTTTATCTAGACTGTGGTGTACTGGCAAGTTTATCTGATACAAACATGGCCTAAGAATGTAAATGAAAGCATTTCTGCAAGTAGCATGTGGAGGCAAATATGGGTGAGTCATTTTCCATAGCAGCAAGGGGCCTGATTCTGCATTGGCATTAGTTTTATCCTATGTAGTCTTGTATGACACTAGAGATGCTTCTGGTTTTTATCCGTGGCAATGGCTGTGGTCAGGCTCTGCCCGTGATTCTGACTTTGCAAAACTGAACATCTGTTGTCTGTTTCTGCAGAGCTGAGATGCCAAGAATGCAACCGAGTCTTTAAATGTGAGCATTCCTATCTCTCCCATGTCCGCTTCCTGTGTGTCTCAGAGAAGAGTGCCCTGCTATGGAGAAAATTCCAGGACCCAAAGACTGCAAAAGGCAGCTTAGCTGAGCAAACCACAAATTTCCACAGCCTGGCAAGGGATCTAGAGGTCAAAATGGCAACTCGAAAAGATGATGCACATGGTCTCACAGGAGAGAGGAGAGCAAAATCAGAGGAGATTGAGAATAATAGGAGCAGGAAAACTGTGTTGTTGGAGAAAACCAATAATCTGAGCGAAGAACATATCTGTGGGGGCAAGGAAGAGACTGGAGGAGAGCATGCATTGGCTGGTTCTTTCTGGAAGCTTAGTTCAGGGAGGCAGTCAGCTAAGAAGGATGCTTTAGAGCAGAAGCAGAGTGCTTTCACTGAGGTCAGGAGGATGAAGGACAAATTGAGGAATGAGAGACCCAAGGAGTCAGAACAGGAAGATGGCCCGGTCCCACTTGGTAAAGAGCAGGTGTCAAAGGAAGTGTTGCTTAACTCCTCCGGCAGTGCATTCTCCTTTGTATGGCCCACCAGAGCCCGAGGAGAACAGAAGAGTGCTTTCAGCAAACCCAGTAAGCGTCTAGCAGAAAGAGCTACAGTAAATTCTTCTCATCCCATGAACGACTCAGCAAAGAGCCTGGGGGAGCTGTCCGGCCTCATTGCCACTGCAGACATCATGTGCTGCAGCACTCTCCTGAATTCCAAGTTCTTTGTCAGTGACTTGTGTAACTCTCAGATGCTACAGACAAGCATCACTCGGAGCAATGTTTTCCCATATACCTCAGAACTGTGGCCCAAACAAACAGGAGGACAGTTACAAAACACAACCGCCAGTTCTTCCTCCTCTTCCTCCTCCTCCTCCCTGACTCTCCTTCCCCCCACCTTTACATCGTTTGGAGTGGCTGCCCAGAACTGGTGTGCCAAATGCAACCTGTCTTTTCGCATGACATCCGATTTAGTCTTCCACATGCGGTCACACCACAAAAAAGAATATTCCTCAACTGAATCCCAGTGCAAGAGGAGACGGGAGGAGAAGCTAACATGCCCAATATGTCACGAGTACTTCCGAGAACGCCATCATTTATCTCGGCACATGACTTCTCATAATTAGAGCTGTGCAGGCAGATCTCACCAAGAGACTGGGCAGGTTGGGTAAAGAAGGGGAACATAATTCATTTGTATCCATTTCTTTTTGTGTTTACATTAATTTCTTACAGGACATCACTGTTTACAATAATTTATAATAGATGCTTCGCAAAAATATATATAATGTTTACAAGAGTCTGAGTGGGTTGTAAGTTCTGAAAACTCAACCTAGCCCTTGTCAACCTATTTTTGAGGAAATAAAATAGTGGAACAAATGCACATTAATTTGCAAAGAGTTGGAAGCAAAGTCATTGTTTTGCAGACAGAATTTGTTTGTATTTGATTTGCTGGTGCCTGTGCAATACAATGTAAATATAGAAGTAGCAACATCCTCACTGAAAAAAGTGCAGTGCTTGTGTGCTGAAAGAAAAGAAGTAACTCTTTTCTGGCACCTTTGGCAGACTCTTACTCTATTACATTAGCTGGATCAGCACACTTGATCAGATCTGTGACTCTGAGGGAAAACCTTATATCTCATTATCTCCTTGGCCTTGGAAAGGAGTTACAGTTCAGACTTTATCTGAGATTTGCGATTGGCAACAACAGATGAATGCACAGCCAAAGAGGATGTGATTTGTAAATCAGTACATCTGAGTTCTGTTCTAGGCTCTACCACTTTTGAAATATCTTTTAAAAAAACAAATCAACCTGGATCTGGATCAAAATGTGACCTGTTGTCAACGTTATTATGTAGACAGCAAGCACAAATTCTGCTCTGAGGTGTACTCACAAGATCTGTGTGACTCTGAGGAGCATATCCAATAGGGGCAGAGTTTGGCCTTTTTTTTTTATATATATACACTAAAGAAAGTGACTAGAGTGTTTGAGTTACTGTTAGGTACTGATAGATGGAATCTGCACAGATTAGTTCTGGATGATAGGCTCTGTTCTGCTAGCACCTACAAGAAGAGTGTCCTTCAAAAAATGACACAAACATATATGAATTGCTTTGGATGAGATCATCTCATCTATCATCAGGTTTCTACCATTGGCCATTTCCAGCTTTTTCTAAAGAGAGTGCTGAGGTCTCTCTGTAGCCTGTCCATAGGAATTTTTTTTCTCTTGCCTCCATTGGTTTGTATTCTGCTTAGTCTCAGAAGCAGATGAGCTTATATCACTCTGGAGAAAAAAAACAAAACCAAAACCCAACCCTGTCTATTGTTACTGCAGCTCATCTAATTATCCTTTCATTACTTTTTAAATCCACTTAGGGACTTGCTCTTGATAGCTTATGACAGTGATTTCTTCAAGGTGAGCATTTGTCTCTCTCTTGTATGGTATTTTTCAAGGCTGGTTGTTGTTTTTGTGGCCTGCCTCTGAACCTCATTTTCTATTATTGCGTGTCAGATAGAGAATGATTAGAAACTACCCATTGCCCACCTAAAGGTATCCTATAGATTTGTATAGGACATGGCAAAATGCTCTTATTATTTTCCATCATGCTGATGATATGGTCCAGTGTATGTCTGCTGCACGCTGGACAGAAGTTTTCTTAGAGTTCCCATGATGACCTCAGGGTTGAGAATGGAAGTATCAGACAGCAGGTAAACACATCTGAGTGACAAAAAAGCCTTAGAGTGCTAGGCTGTCAGTTGGGATCAACATATTACACTCATTGTCATCTATTGGGAGATTTCTATAAATCAGGAGACTGTATTTTTTCCAAATGTTTTCAGTTAATGTTGAACATTAATATATGGCTGTTTCCTATTAGCATAAACATCTGGCTTATTTCAGGCCGAAGGCCGGCTGCTCCCCCCAGCTTTTCTTCCCAACATAAAGTGATGAAACTGTTGCATTATGCCTTAGAGTTGAGAAGACATAAATTGAGACTGGAAGTTTGGTTGGATTGTAACACAGCTTTCCAAGGTCAGTGGTGGAAGCTCTTTCACTGGAGTCATTAAAAACCAAAGTGAACAAAAGCTTTGAAACATGTAGCACAGGGAACAAACTTGCATTGAGTAGGGGATGATGTGGTTTCCTCCTAATCTTTCCATCTCTATTTTCTGTCTAATAACATTTACTGTGTAAGGAATTTATTTATGGCAAGGTTTTATGGGCCAAATTTAACTCCATCTGGTTTTATCTGGGTGCCAGCCAGTTTAATGTGAAGTCAGTGTCCATAAAGTGTAATGAAGAACACCATGGTGTAACTGCATGCATATGTGGTTAGGGTTATAGTTCCCATTAGTAGTTTAGGCCAGATTGTGATCTCACTTATTCCAGTGCAAATCCAGAATAATTCCATGTTATTACTCCTGATTAACATCCATGACTTTATGATCAGTCTGGCCCAGTATAAATAAGACTAAAGGTTTTTTGGTACCATTGCAGCAAAATATTATTTTGTGCTTGTTAAAAGATGCCATATTTTTTAAGATTGGTACGGTTAGAAACTTAACTTTAGATTTCTTCTGGAAAGAGGAATGACCAGTGCAATGCTCCCCAATATTATGTAGGAGCATTGCTTCAGTCCTACTCCAAAGGCCTAGTTTTGAAGTGTGCTACACCTGGGACATCATTTACATCAGAACAAATCTGACTGGTTACGTGTTTTCACTGATTTTGTGCTTGTGTAAGTGATTTTGAGAAGGTACGAAAAATCAGCCAATGATAGAAGAAAAACAGCTACTGAATCTCAAAAACCTCCTCCAAAAAGCATGTTAGATCCACCTCCTCAGAGTTCTCTCCAAGAATTAAATGGTTCACTCTGCTCATTGGCTGCGACTTAAGCAAACAACAAGGCTACAGGTAGGGATGGCTTTCCTTTATGTCATGAAGCTGTTTTCTTTGGGAAAAAAATGAACTCTTACCCAGTTCCTTTGCGGGAATATCTTAGCCATAGCCACTTGGTTACTTTGATGACAAGCACTGTATAAATGCCGTCTGTACAAAGAGAGGCAAGAGAACCACTTATGAAAAGTGACAGATCTGATTTAAAGTCCAAAAACAAAGAGGAGAGGTTTTTAATCAGCTTTATTTCTGATACTGTCCTCACCTCCTCCAGTTGCAGGGGCAGTGCAGTTCAGTCCTAGCATATAAAGACTGCAGTTTTCCTCTTGGAACACAGAAATCACAGAGTAGGCAAATGTGTGCTGTATTGCCCTTGCTTGTTCGCAGGTGGCCAATGGCATAAAGACTGAGTGAATAAATTGATTCTTATATTCAGAACTAAAGTGTTATGTGAACTAAGACCTGTTTACACACACCACTCAGCGATGTAACCTTCTGTTGCCAGTTACATATGTGTTGACATCAGAGTAAAACGGCACAGAGAGCAGCAGAACCACAACTTGACTCCTTATGTGTAAAATGAGCTTTTGTGTAAAGCCTCTTGTGCAGGCAGGGAGCATGTCTTTCATGTGTCTCATTCTTAACTTAGTGTCTCATCTTAGCTGGGTTACATAAGCCAGTGGGCTTATACCAAAATTTTGGAGATTTTATTTCTTTAAATCAAAGTGTTGGTATTAAAGCCAAGTGAACCAAGTATTGCACAGGCAGAAGGAAGCCTAATGAGACAAAGAAAAACAAACTTCCTATAATTGAGTCATGCTGGAAGCATTTTTTCCTCATGTCTAGAAGTCTGAACATTTAAATTGGTGCAGATGAAAGGAAATCCTGCTGGAGGAAAGGCACTCTACCAGTAAAGCAGGGGGTTCTTGAAGAAATGAAGGGACTTAGGAATGCATGAAGGACTGCATTCAGTCCCAGTGCAACACTGCGATTTTACTGCAGGAATCTATGCTTTTTCTACAAAGAAAAAAAGAAAAAAGAAAAAGAATAGGAATTTGTTTTTTTAAATAGGAAAAGGAGATAATTTGAAAGCCAGCTGACATGTTCTTTTCCTGACTTTGCTAGCAACCACTTGTGTTGTTTTGACCAATCCACTGAGTTTCTCACAGTATCTGTTTCTGGATCAGTTAAATGGGAGATAACACAATGCTGTGAAGCTGAGCTGTTCAGGCTGTGTTTCTGGGATGTGAGTTTATGGATATGGAAGATATGGAGTGCCAGATTAGGATATTTATTCACTCATGGACTCCTGAACTTTCTGCAGTGAAGATGCACTCCTCCATAGCAACTGCACTCAGATAAGTTGCTGAAGAGTATACATGAACTTGCTTTTCTTGGTCAGCTTTCACTAATTCCTTAGATGCAGTCTGTGGGTTCCCACAGGTCTATAGACAAGTTTGAAAATCAGTGGGCATGTTGTGTGGTGTGCTCAGGGAAGACTGCAATTAGCAACAATCTCAAGAGAGCAAGAACGCATCAGTGTGTAGCAACAAATGAATAAACTGGCTGCCATTGCTTGGTCAGAGTTCTGTGAAATCCAAAAGGAGAAATATCATATTGTTAGGGGGCCTGGTACACCAGCTTCTTTCTTCCCCCCTCTTTGAAAGGAACTTGGTTGGAATTAACTGTGAGGAAGGTGTTCTAGGTAGAATGGTATGGAAATTGTGCGATAAGCTGTTTAATGTCCATCTTTATCCAGAAAGTGTGGGACTGGCACAGCTCTGGAACCAGAAGAGAAAAGGATGGCAGTTTCAGCACGTTTCCTGATCAGTAAAGGGTTGGGAGGGCACTTCAGAAATTCCTTAGTCCATCCCCAAGTCAACTTCTGTCTGTCTTGCTAATTTAAACCACGAACCATGGATTTTCCATAACTTTCATTCTGGAAGAATCTAATTTTGTGATCTGTTCTCGTCTTTCACTGCAGTGCAATTTTCTATGCAATTACTGTCAGTAGTTTGGTGAGGTCTGTTGGTATGGTTTGGTAAGTTTTTTATGAAGGGGTCTGGTCTGCTCAAGCTGACAGTTTCAGTGGTCACTAGAAACATGAAAAATGCCAGGCAGAGCCAAATTAGTGGGACGTACAGCTCAGCATCTACATCTCCCTTGACACTGTGGAAGGAGGTGGAAGATCCATGAAGAAAGCAGCTGTGGGAGAAAAAAGTTCCTTCCGGATGACATAGAAGATAGAGAACAACTTAAGCTCTGAAATTGCAGATTTAGATTCTATGGAAACCTCTTAGTTACCTTTCATAATTCCAGATGTTCTAGAAGTGTTTGGTCCTTCTAAATAGTACAATCCTATTTACTTAAGTGCCACTTGCCTCAGTGAGTCCTGCAGGCCGTGCAGGAAGTGTGACAGTTCTGAATTTGTCTCCTTTCAGCTTCACTGTAATACAGCAATGTAGAATATGATGCAGTTCATCTGTCCTGCTTGCTATCTTTACCTCTCTGAAATAAGAAAGCTGATCTTTTCAGTGTCTTCAGACAAGAGGTTTCCTGTGACTCTAGTCTTCTGTGAGCAAAAAACACAATCTAACACAGTTTACACTATACCATGAGAAGGTTCTAAGTTCACTGGGACAAGAATAAATGTGACATAACAGTTAGTAACAGAGGTAAAAAAAATTGTTTCTTTGGCCTTTGTTAAACCTGATAGTTTCAATACAGATTAGCCAGTGAAATTGTAAATAATATTTTGTTACTTAATAGAGTTTGTCAACGTTGCACATTAACTTTCCAGTGAAAATGAATTTGGTGTTACTTCAGAGAACTAACAGCACTATTGATTGCAAATGGACTCGCCAGCAAATGCATCTGCTTTTTTTTTCTTTTCCGAACTGGATTCCAATTTCTAAACATACTTATTATTCATAAGTACTTATTGTATTACTTAAGGGAAGAAATTATTTCCTATTTGTGCCCATATGGTATAGCTTTTGGTCCTTGAATGGATGGCTGAGGTTTGTAAATGTTAGGTTTAATGACTACTATTGTTTCTACATGACAGCACAACAGATTGTCTTTAGGAAAACAAAAGCAGTATATCTGAATCACTTAGATATTAAAGAGGTTTAAAAAACAGTAGAATATGTATGTTAATGTTGTTTACTTTACTAATTCATTGACTACTCTAGTCTTTACCAGATTAAATAGCTTTAATATTCTTCGTTTTTTATATCACTTTACACAAAATTCTGCATGAGCTTTAATTCATTTAAATATTTTCCACAACACTGAGAAATTCAACATCTGACTACTGCATAAAAATCAGAATATGAAAATGATTCAGTCCAGGTTAGCGATTGCACTGAGTGTAATTGGAAAGATAAACAAGTAGTAAAAAAGATGGAAAGTCTATTTAGTTGTTAAAATTATTTTCCTGTAAATACTGAAAAAGATGTAGTCAGATGTTTAAACATGGTTTTTTTTTTTTTTAAAAAAAAAGGTAGTAACACACAAATGAGCTAGCAAAGAGCAATTTGTAACCCTTACATACTCTAACTGGTGAAATCTGGGGGGACCAGTTTCCTAATTTAGGTGTCTTACAGCTGTTTATTTTACAGAGATGGCAAATGTTGAGACCTAGTTTAGAGTTATATGCATTTCTCAATGATTACAAATACAAATGTACAGAGATATGCATTGCAAGAAAGAGAACGTTGTGCATTAATTAGGCTCATGTCGAAAACCCTATCAGTTGCCCTGGAATAGACTGTCAATAATCATTTTGTTATCAGAGAGCAGAGGATATTTCTCTGTTTTCTTCTTGTCTTTGGAGCAGGGCATATAACAATCTGTTTTTAACCCTAACTAAAAACATATGATTCTTGTCACTAACTCTGTTGAACTGAGTGACAGAGTCAATGCACTGCCTTTCTCCTGCCCATTCCCCATCCCTCTGGCAGATGCTAGGGGAGAGGCAGAGATGCATCTAAGAAATACCAGGAGACTGGGCAAGCCTGGCAGATTTTGATACATCTAAATGATGAAATGGAGAAGAGACTTAGCTGTTCCAGTTTGGAAAGCATAACCTCCCAACTATTGTTAATTCTTCCTTCAGACTTAGAAAAGTAAATGTACACATTTTCCAAAGGAGAAGAGGTGCCTTTTTTACTTTTGCATACATGCTTCGGGGTGGTTCACATGCCTTCAATATTGACAGCTGGGATTTTCAATGGGACCTAAGGAAATCTCTGTTTTGAAGCTTAATCTTAAAAAATAGACACTGCAATAACTAACATTTACATCTGACCACAGGAGAGGAATCCAGACACACCAGTGAATTACCCAAGTCTCTCAACAATGTCCAGAAAGATCTGGTTCCTCAGAACACAGTTAAAAATGCAACATGTTGAAGAGCAGGTCACCTAGAGCTATCTTCAGGGAGCCACTGATCATAGAGATCGAACTGAAGTTTCCCCTCCTCTCTAGGATTTGTGTTTTGGGAGGTGGGTTCCTTTCCCCTGAAGACAGGCAGCTGCAAAGAACTGAGTGATAGCAGCAGTATTTTTGCTTATCTTCCCCTAAGAACTTGGTTACTAGAAAACTCACACAAGAAATGGGACTCTGGTGTGAGGCCTCCCTTAGCTGTTGGGAACTCAAATCTACTTTTGCTGCTATCCAGAAGAGTGCCATTCCCAAGGCATGTGAATTATTCTGGGTAGCAGAAGGGCCTTGCCACATCTCCTGTTGGAGTTGAGCCCCTCTGCAGTAAACAACCCATAGTTTATCGAGCTAGAGAGATAAAACAAGGAGGAACACCTGTAGCCTGCCCATCCCCTCACATGCGCATGCACGAACACACACACACACACACACACACACACACACACACAGAGTGAGATTTTCTGGATCTCAATTTTGCATTAGTCATCTAAATTATGGGTAAATCCTACTCTGGATTCCCAAACCCTTTATCAGTCCAGCTCCTGAGTGCCTAAGTCCTTTAGACTCGACTGAAAATTACAGCCTACCTTTCTTCTAGAAGCACGTCCCCCCATTGGGCTATCTAGAGCTGTGCAAGTGAGCGTTGAGTATCTCCTTTGCTTTGATGAGTGCTGTTTCAGCTGGTGCTTCCATGTGAGGCGGCACCCCTTTCCCTTCCCAAGAAGTGCTCTCTCCAGAGATGACTGATCTGGAGGTGGGGATGGTGATGTACAGATTGTTTCCATCTACTTCATACGTCTGTGGGGAATGGCAGCCACCACTGGTCTGTTCCCCAATGATGAAAGCTCTGCCCAGTCTCTTCATTATGTACACAAACTCCTCTGCAGCCCCAGCTGTCACAGAACTGGTGAGGATTATTAGCCCTTTCTGAGAACCATACCTCTCCCCTGCCAGAAAAGACAAAGAGCATCACAAAACACATCCATTTTCAGAGATCCATTTGCATCGTGGAACAAGAAAAACCAAGATACAAAACGCTTTGTTCCCTACCTGCTATTAGCAACCGTATAAGTTTGAAATTTTGTTTCATACCTATGATGGTATTAAAACACTTTTTTACACTAGCCCAGCCACTATGTTGTAAATAAGGCTGTTACCCTGTCTGGTGCTCTTGTCTCACCAGTTTCTGGTCATGAGCTCCGGCAGCTGGGAAGCCAGCTCATGTTTACTGCTGCTGACTCTTCTGTGGCTTTGATTTTTACAGGAACTCCAGACCCCATCAGAGAAGTGGAATAGGAAGGTGAGGGAAGCAACCTCTTCCACTACCTTAGCAGGAATACTCAAAGCTCAGCTCGAGGCATCTTCCACTTCACCCTCACCCCTGCTCTAGGAACCTGGCTGCAGTGCGTGGCCTGCGAACAAAGCAAGGCGGCATTTTGTGAAATTACAATTGAGGTTTCCCACAGGCTTATTACAGTCTATTAATGGAAGCTGTTACATTGCTTTTGTCCAAGCCCTTCAACAAACACCCATTCATTATTGGGATCTCAGCCAAGTTATCTTATTCTCTTACAAAAACCTGCTGATAGGAATAGGGGTTTTCTTGCACCTGATTTTCAATATATCTGTACACACTGGATACTTTTCAAGAGCTGAGATCCTTTGAAAATGCGGCCAATGTGTCATAAATGGGACCTGATCACCTGAAATCTAATTCTGAACTGCTTTAAAAATCTAGTTCTTCAAGTAACTTACCATACAACATTTAATTCTCATACTAAACTGTTAGAGAGGGGCCAATATCATGGTAATTCATTTTTATATCATCTTTTGCCTTCTCATTTCACCGTAGACATATATCCATTAGAAGACCCTCTTCACAGTAGATATATATAATGTAGTACCACAACCAGCTCCTTTGAGGTTAATAGGACTCTGCCTGTTCTCTTTGATGGGAACTGGAAAGTGTCCATAGTAATCACACTCCCTTAGCACAGCTCACCTCTCACTGCCTGGGGAAATAGATGGACCCTGCAGCATGCCACAAAGGTTAAGCATTTCAGGCTGCTCCAAACCAATAATTGCAGACACTGTTGTGACACCTCTTTCAGTCTTGTTTTAGCTTTAAGGGGGAGTAGAATTAAAGCCAGCATTTAAGATTGGTTAGCACTGTAACTGCAATTTATGAGTGCTGAAGAGGTCTGTTTCTGAATGTTGTAGCATCCCTTCAACTTACATGGACAGCAGGGTAGGTAACACATTGCTGAATGCTCTGAACACACTCAGATGTGCAGAGTTTATAGGGCTCCCCTTTTGTTCTTTCATTCTCTAGATAAATTGGGCTATTGTGTGTGTTTTCATCTACTGAGATAGTGTCTGATGGATCGCATGGGCAGGAATGAGGAACTACATAAAAAACTGCATGTAAGTATTGGAAGAGACTCTTTGTTACTAGGAGTTAAAGCAGTACAGGAATTGTTTTTAATTTTGACAGCTTTTAAAAGCAACACCGTAACGGCTGTACACTGTTTTCAGCTAAACTTCTGGGGCCAGTTTACAAACCACAGTGTCTAATATACCGCATTCATAGGAGCCACAAACTGATATTTATATGTGGCACTGAGGGACATAACTAAGATGCAGATTTTTGTTTTTACATTGTCTGCATAGCTTGAGCTAATAGTGGCAAGTGCTTTCGCCAGATGAGTTATAGCGTCTAATAGCTCGCTCTGAAATGCACAAACAAGAACACCTGAAATTAAAAGAAATTCTTAGAAGAAACTGTGGTTTACCTTTGAGCCGTGGCTGTGTCTGTATTTCCTTAATTGAGTCACTGGGTCTGTTGTAAACTTTGTCCAAGAGAAGTCGCTGTCCTTCATCGAAGAAGTATGAGCATAGAATTGCTATGGAAGTGGTAGGGCCTCCAATATTGTACCTTTTCAAAAATTAAAAAATATTAAGGAAACAAATGAAAATTTGTGGCAGACAGCAAATCTGCCTTCCAAGTTTTGTTGCTTAACAACCACACTGAAGGGCTAATGGCTACATTTGGCTACATTTACAGAGGACGTTCTCCCCTTGCAGCATTTGCACCTTTATCACAAAAACAAAATCCCATCTAAGAAGCTGGGATTGGAATTGTCCACAACTGACTATGAACACAAAAGTAAAACTGAATGGCTTTTTTTTTTTTTGACCCAGCCTGAAAAAAATCAGCAAGTAATCTCAGAATCTTTATTTGCAGAGAAACATTAGATTCTTGCAATTCTACTTTCAATAACCCATCCTGTTACTGACAGAGGCAGTACGAGCAAACATCTAAACCTTGGTATTTAAATGTAGATCCTAGATCCTAGTTTAAGCAAAGTAGGTCTGTGGAACTGACAAACATTCTTATTTCATGCTGCACACAATGAAAACCATTAGTGTTTGGCACCTTATAAGATCAGGCTATTTCTCTTTGTGCCTAAAGATTGTTTTATTTACTTCATTTATGAGAGTCATGAATGAAAACTTTGGTTGCAGGTTAATTTCAGATCAGCCTCTGAAGATTAAAGTCACTGAAGTGACCAAGGGTCATCAGAGAACCGTCTGCTATGAATGTGCACGATGGAATACCAAATTATTTTTTATGTATGTTATTTCTAACATAGAGTTCATATGGCACTGGAAATGTTTGTACTTCGCTCATTAGCAGCAGACTGCATAGCACTCTCCTGCAGTTGATGTTAGGAGTGCCTGGCGCAGACAAAGGCAAAAAAAGTTGCTTCACCTTCAGGAAAGCATTTAAAAAATCCAGGAGGGGCCTCTGCCCCAAACAGTGAAGCAACCTCTTTATTTTGCAACGTTTGGGAGCTGTACGCTGGATTCACACTGTGCCTGGCTAGAGCTGAAATAGGCCTCTAGCGTGCCTGGATAGCGCTGTGCTGCCACAAGGTCCTACTGCCTGCATAGCACAGGAGACAGCAAGACGTAGCAGCGCCCAGCTTGCTGCAGCTGCCATTGCCACTGTCGAAGTGTGTGGCAAGCAGCCAGCTACCTGGATGGCTAAGATGGACAAAGAAGCTGGCTCTGAACAAGGTTGAAGGGTAGAGATCTGCTGAATTATTGTCAGTGCCCAAGCTGGGTCCTTCCTCCTCTGTCAGTGGCATCAAGCTGGGTAGGGTGGAGGAGAACTGAAACTTGCTCTGTTCCTGCTGTAGTCACCCCCCCTCCAGCAGGATTAATTTGACTGCCAGACAGAGCCAAGAACATAGTGTCCTGACATACTTTTAAAAAGGCAGGAGGTCAATAAGGTACCTTTTTGGGACTCCATGTACCCTCAGTTATAGTGCAGACCAATCTAGGGCAGCTGGCTGGATGGTAGAGATTAAAAAACTATGTAGCCAGAGTGAAGCCAAGCAGCAAGATGACAGAGCAGCTGCTTGCCCTACAGTGCATGTCTCACATAGTCTTGAGTCAATGAAGTCTACAAGATTTTGAAGGGAAAACAAATGTCAAATATTTCCATCATCTGTGGATATCAGTTTAGAGGCCTCTTCAGATTATCAAACTTGTGGTCAAGAGAAAGACACAAGGATGATGACAAAGACAAGAAACATTTTGACAACATAATGGTAATAGAGCAATGCTGATGAGCTTTTCCGGGGAGTCTCTTGCATCTAGGACGCTGAAACTGCAGAAATCTCAGTCAGTAGGAACAACTGTACAATTGTCAGAGTTTTAGTTTAGTTCCTGGGGGCAAGTACTTCCTTCACTACAGACTTCTTGAGTGACACTGGAGAAGCTGTTTAGCTTATCAGCATCTGTTCTCCATGCTGTGATGGTTACAAATACGAAGCTCATGAGTGGCCCAGCTGCTCCAAGGACAGAAACTTCTAAGGTGAAAGGCATTAATGCATTATGATTAATCCTAAGTAAAGGATCCTGAAGTTATCAGTTTCCCCTCAAAATCATGAGATTGTTTAGAGACAATCTCAAAAGATAATATGTTTAGGGTACTTTTTATATGACTTCAGAGACTGAGGTTTTTTGCATGCACTCCACTCTGCTTTCTCAAAAGGCTGGAAATATATTAAAAATAGAAAGCAAAGCAACCCAGGAGAAGAGCTATAATGAGGCCATTTGGTGCCTGGGGCATGATTTTACCTTTTGCTGTTTTGTTACCCCTGGCCCTGGTGTGAGTTCTAGCCTGGGAAGGATGGGAACAAGAAAGAGAAAAGTCCCAGTCAAACTCCAGGTCTGTTGGAAGGTGAGGATGACTTTGCTGAATCTGAATTCAGTCATGGGTGGGCTTGGGTGGCTGCTGCCTTACCTCATCTGTGCTCACATGGTAAGCTTCCTCTCTCCACACTTATCACTGTGTTCATCTTTTCTTGCACATGCTACAAATCCCAGATGAAAATTAAGAAGATTACCAAATATTGTGAGCCCCATGATGGTAAAGGACAGGAGATTTTTTAGCATTAAAAACTAGCTCTTACAAAGGCCTTATTTTCTTTAATTAATATTTGTAATGTTTGGGCTCACAAACAGTAGCTCTGGACCAAAACAAGAGAATGACTTTTATGTGAATACTGTATCGGAAATGCGTACCTGTGATATTCATTCGTTTTGATAGCTAGCAACATAACAAATGCCATCTTCTGGCTCATAAGACTTTGAAACATTGTTGACACACTGGAGAGTCTAGCAGACTCCTAAGTCAGCAGCAGGGATATGGTACTGTAGCTTGCTGCAGCAGGGTCTAGGAGTGTCACAGTACCTTTGAGACAATGGTGCTTTTAAGCCACCTTTGTACTCTGTGCACAAGGATTATTCTGTACAGGGCTGATACTACAACATAATTTAGCACTGCAGGTATGGCAAACTCGATGCTGTAACACAGCACTATGTGTGATCTTATTTTTGACTGTTCAATCACTTGACCGTTGCCTGTAGCAAAAGATTTAATTAAGCCATATATATATATAATTAATACAAGGCACATGCAGAGGCAGATTAGAAAGAAATTAGAGAAAGAAAACAGATGTGAGGTTTAGGACTGCATTCTGCAACATATTCCCTAGATTTACCTATTTAGTTCTAAACATCTCAAGTGATGGTACAATTTCTCTTGAGATATGCTTCCAGACTGTTATTATTTTCCTTGGCTGTTTTCCTTTTCTCATTTAATCCCAGCAATGTTAGCCTGTAAACAGGACAGCAAACCATGTAAAGCTAATTCACTGTTACAAATAAAATGCTATTTTAAAAGGACCTTGGTTATTTGCCATTCAAAGGTTTACCTCAAGTCTAGGATTAATGCATCTGTATGAACAATTTTCTTCCAAACATGCTCTACCAGTAGGTCGGACACCTGGGTTAGAAGTTCATAGTCTCCAAACATATCGAATCTCAGATAGCCAATGTTGTTTTCAAAGACATTCGTGTGGAATGAAAATTTAATCAGATCTTCAAATGCTTCTGGGGAAGGGATCTGAAAGAGTTTAGAAAAACAAAATAAATCATTTGCTGGCATAGACAGCTTGGCACAAGATTTGAAAGGAATCACATGGGTCAAGTTTAGTCCAGGTGGGACATACGTTAAGAATGTGACCGAGTTTAAAGAGTATCTTGAAATGATCATGAATTAAGATTTTTGCATATTAGACTTTGGTTAATGTTAGCTGCTGCACTGCTTGCCCAGTATAGGGTGCATCAATAGCATGCCCAGAACCTGGATCAGGCCCTTTCTGGTCAGGGCTCAGTTTATTATGCAAAATAAAGAAAAAAACTTCCTTCAACCAAAGAAGGCTGCAAGAGCCTACACATACACTTTGCCATCACTCCAGGCCTGCCCTGCTGTCACTTCTCCCTCCCTCCCCCCCCCTTGCTCACTTGTTTCCTTTAGCAGTTCTTTCTAAATAAGTCACTTAGGGTTTTTATAATGTCTTGATCAGCCTCAGCTGACAAACAGCTGCTGGTTACAGGTGAGACTGGCCCCAGTCCCCGTTAAAGAGCCAGTTCCTGTGGTGGAAGGAGCCTCACGTGTTGGGCATGTGCTAGGAAACCCCTGTGCTAGCCATGTGTTAAAACTCTTACAAGGTGGCCGCATGCCTGGAACCTCACATGTTCGTCTGTGATCAATTTCATCTTGTTTATCTGGGTGTTATTAAACTGTAGACTTTTTTTAATAGCAATGTGTAGCCATCTAATAAAGTTATCCCAGTAACCCCTATATGCATTGGAGACATAGTCTGCTCCTGTTGCCAGACTTAGATGCTTTGCATGCACGTGTCTGAAATGGGAAGGTTCTCTTTCAGCTTAAGATCAGGGTATATATTCTATATGTGACTTTCAGCAATTTGGCCTGCATGATTCATGGTTGCTGTGAAAATTTTATACTTGCATCTTAATCAGCAGTTGCCTGCTGCCATAGCTCAGGCTCAGATTATCCACAGTCGGCTTACAGGAGAGAGAGCAAAGAGTGGGCAGGGAGCTGCCTGCTAAAAGTGGTCTCCCAACCTGCAACACACTGCAGAACTTGTGAGGCATTTAGGCCTCCTGTGGTTGGTTGTAGGGAAGTCAGGCAGCCTCCTGCTACACATGTTGTGCCCTGGTCTGGGGTCTGCAGTCCTGCCACAGACACCTCTGTCACTAAAGAAGGAGGATCATTCATCATCGTTTGGTACCTGCTGCATGCCAGGATTTCAAAGACTAATTCAAAAGCCCTGTTTGCCACTACTTGTTAACAAGATGGTGAGAGTGAACTCTAGTTAGAGTTCTTTTCTATACTCTTCTTTCTCACTGCACCTTGTGAAAATAACCACTGCATCTGGACTGTAGACATATCAGTTCAACACTGTTGGGTTTGTCATTTCCAATCCACTTCCCAGTGACAGCAATGCTGCTTGATCTGCCAAAGTACTTTGATCGACAAATCACAGTTTTGAAGAAAATATCTAGCATGCGTTGCATGGTTCTGACAGAGCTTATATGTAGTTCAGAAGTACTGGTCCCCTCAGGAGAAAAAAACATCACTCATTGGTAATATCTACAAATAAAATGGAATGTGTTACTATCAGCCACTTAGCAATAATATTTTAACTGAACGCACAGGTTTCTTATCTCTGTCTCCAAAAATAAATGCTATATGCATACCCATAAACATGTTGATTAAGAGTAACCTTTCTATGTATGTCTGGTAATGTGAGTTTTTTTCCTACTTGTTCTTTTACAGTGCTGCATCAAATCTTTGTCCATTGAGGACTTGGATACTTGTCAGCAGTGTTGCTAACTCTTGCAAATTTGTTACAGGTCTTGACATGGCTAGTTTGCCCTTAAAGGCTCAGCTCTTTTAAGGTAAAATGAATATATGAGGATCTCCGAAAAACCTTCATGGCTGTAGGAGGAGGTATGAAAATACACCTACTCTAAAGGCTCTAGGACCAGAAGTCAAATGAAAAGTGCGCAGAATCTGATTTCCAAAAAAGAAAAAAAAAGCCTCCTAATTTTTAAGCAAAAGAGGGGAGGAGGCTGAGACTGACAGTAGAGAGTTACTGTACTGTACAATTGCAGGTTTGTGACAGTGACACATGGGCCCTGTGCCATGTAAGGGGGTAAGTCTAGCTCCAGAGAGCAGCAGCATTCTTCCTTTTGGAAAGCAGGGCTCTGTTTGCAGGCCAAGGACAGACTGTGACAGGATGCAGCTGAGAGTAAGATCATGCTACTTAGTTAGGCAGTGTTTACATACAAATGACTTGATTGTTAAATATAAACCCTCAGGTGCCTTAGTAAGAAAAACACTATAAGCAGTGTGGCTAGACTAAGGGACCTCCAAGCTAACACCACGTAAGCCAAGAAGGAGTTGCTACTAGTTAACTGTATAGGGTCTCCAGTCCTTTTCTGCAGTCTCTTTCCACATGTGAGTAGCCTAACTGGAAAAGGTCACGTGACACAAAATAGGACCTAGAACGCTGCCCTAGGACTCATGTGTGGGGTTTTATCACTTGCTTTGCCACTGACATAGCCCTCCCAACCTTGGGCAAACCACTTTCCCAATTGTGCCTCTCTTTTCTCCCTTCTCCCTCTTCTAAGTTCTTTTGTCTATTTAGATGGAAAGGGTCTTTTCATAGCTAATTTTGGGCTGATCACCACAATGTAACTCTGATCTCCACTGAAGTTGCTAGTGTTGTCAACTCCAAGCTGTCAAAAAAAAAAAAAACCAGCCAATACCTTTGTGCCACTGCAAATTCTGAGACTGGTTCCTCCTTTCTTTCTTAGAATAACATTCGAGTTCCATCCACACCCTCAGAGGCTGGAATGGAAAGGTCCATCTTAAGTTATCTCCTTGTCTCAAGGCAGGATCAACTATACCCATGCTGCTCCTGACAGCTGAGTCTCACTTGCTCTTAAAACCTGCAGTGATGGGGATTCCGTGTTCTTCTCCAGGGAATCCAGTCCAGTACGTCACTATCCTAACTATTACAAAGATGTTCCTAACATCTAGCATAAACAGTTTAAGTTCACTACTTTCTACAGTGTAAGTGCATTACTTCTTGGCCTAACCACCATGGAGATGGGAACAGAATCGTATTTCTTCGTATCTGAAACAGCCTCTTCCGTATTTGAAGACTGTTTTCACATCTCCTCTCAGTTTTCTCTGGAATAAACAACTCATATCCTTTCAACTTTTTCAAGTGACTCTTTTTTGGTCTTCTCTTTACTCTTCCTCTTTTCTGGACGCTCTCCAGTTGAGCCACATCTTTCCAGAAATGAAGTGTCCAAGACTGGGTACAGTACACTCCAACTCAGGCTTCTTTAGAGCTGAATAGAGCAGAAGACTTCACATGTCTTACTGATTATATTCCTGCTTATCTGCCCCAGTATGATGATTATTTTTTACTGCAACAATTTGAGACTCTGTTCAGCTTGTGCACACCAAAGCACCCATAAACTTTTCTACAGGATTCCTTCTAAACAAGCTGTTCTCCTTCCAGAGTTGTACAGCCAATCGTTCTCACTACAGAAACTGTCTAAGAACCTTGCATGTGTTCTTATTCAGCCTCAGCCTGCTTTTTACAGGTCACCTCTCCAGCTTTTCCAGAATTGTAGCTTTGAACCCTAATCTTGTCCTCCAGTGTACTAAGACAGCCAGGATGGGATGTTACCATAACCAAAACTCAAACCCTCTGGGATAGTGCTCTGGAAGTGATTACAAGGGGTTATTTAAGCTCTGAGTCCCCACTGAAGGAGCGCAGAGGGAGAAGCTGTGCTTTCACACCGCAGAGGGCGACACTGCACACGAGCATGTTGGCCTGCTTTTAAGAGAGCTTTTAACGTGCTCATTACAAGCCAGTGAGCAAAAATTTAAAGCACTGTTATTTCCTAGTCAATGCCCTTGGAAGACTACATTTGAAAGGAAAATTTGAAAACACGACTCTTAGCTAAATCTTGGGTTCCATCCAAAATCCATGTAAAATCCGTAAAACTAATAGACACATCTCCTGTAACAATAACAGTGGAAAAAAAATGAGGAAAAACAGATCTCTGGTGGGATTATGGCAACCAATGCAGCAAAAGTAGCTGCATTGTGCTTGTGTATCAGAATTATAAGATGAAATGTACTAGAAAAGAAAAACAAAGGTGATTAACACAGTAACGTTTTCTTCTCTGTACCAAATATAAGAGCAAGTACGAACTGCAAACCATCCACAACACCTTCTTTTCACCTGTCAGCAGTAGACGTACTGTATGTATCAATGCAATTTTTCTATCTTGACACTTTGAAGCTGAGAATTTTGATTTCACTCATTAATGATGGGACATAAGGAAACTACATTCAGTTCTAGTGAAGTGTTTGTAACTCTATTGTCTCTGACAGCAAGGATAATACTCTGGTATACATATATAATATTTGGGAAACAGGAGACTTCAAATGCAAAACAACTTCTCTTTATAAAGGATCCCTTTCTTATCTTTTACTAGTAATGTAAAGTGCCATGAAGAGAGATACCATTCATCATTTTCAGCTGCATGTCCAAAACATTAAGACAAAAATTCCCTTAGATGTTAAGACTGCATTAAAAGTCTTTGGGCAGCATCAAGGGGCCTAAAGAGTCACTCAGGGACACTCTTGTCACTTGAAACTGACATATCACATTTGCCAAAATCGGGCAAGCGGTTCTTCCATAGGTAATCTACAGTACTGCGATATACATTAGTTCAAATTTTTCAGTATGGAAAGGGAAGGTATGACTGGAGGGAGAGAGAGGCAGGCAGAAGAATAAGCAGCAGGGATTATTGAACTGGGCATCAGCAAATTTACAGAACTCTGCCTTACAAGCAAAAGGCTATTTTCCAGACCACTAACAGCATCTACAAGATTAGCCTCTGGGAAGTCTGACTTTAGAAAGCAGCATTTATGCAGCAGAGAAATCCAGCTAGCGTTGACCTTGCTCCTGTCACAGAGGAGACATATTCACTATCCTGTACAATGCTTCAGCAGCTATTCCACTGTAGCAGATGCAAAGGTCTACAGGCATTTCACTTCTCTGTTTCCTATGTCCCATCCCATCACTCTTGCAGTTATTCATCATCACTTCCATTTAATTGTGTTGGATCTGCTTCTCTGTCAAGGTCATTATCAAGAAAATCCCGCTGTCAAGGTATGGAGTGGCTTGGAAGGTTGGCAGTGCAAGAGGAAAACTAGCTCTAATGTGATAATAAAAGTGAACAAAGCGGATATAGACTAAAAGAACCACTATGTCAAAGTATGGGACTGTAAAAAAAAAGATGAATTTACAAATGTAATTAGTGCCATCATGTAACTTCACCGTTATCTTGAGGCATGTGCTGTCTGGGACATTGGCACTGGGGATTCCCAAAATGATGCACAGAAAGCATTCCTCTTGCCTCTGCAAAAGCAAAGCAGAAGCAATTACCCTGTAATGGGAGTCAAGGAGAGACAGAGAGACTATGAAAAAAGGGAGAGGGAATCAAGATCCTTTTGCCATTCCAGAGCTCTGTGTGGCAGGAGAATTTTCTTCTTTCTCCACAAGGAAAAGCCGTTACTTGCATTTCTTATCCTCTTTCATCCTTATCCTTTTTCATCCTCTTTCCCCTTAAAATGTCTTAACACTACCCTCTTGTCTCGCCCCCTCCTGAGGGAACACATAGTTCTTTGGTTGCTACCCTAGGCTCATAACAGATTCATGCTGTTTATACAGCATTCCCCCTTGACAGTTCAGATTTTTTTTTTCCTACTTTCATCCACACTCATGTAACTTCCTTCTTATGGATGTATTCCCTGGCCTCCTCCAATCATTTTGCTTGACAGAGAACTGAGGTAAACAGAGACATTAATTAGCATAATGGCTTTTCCCCACTAGCTCTATCAACATCAGAATTTCACATGTCATGAGAAAAACAAGATTTTTGTCCTGTACATCCTGTTCTCAACATTCAAGGTTTAAGCCAAGTAAAAATAGTTAACAATATCCACTAACAGCCTTCAGTGAAAATGGATGACTGATTTGCAGGATGGTGCCTATAGAGAAATTACGGTGTAACATTACTGATGTGTTGCTAATAATTTAGCAGGGAGGTCTGTCAGAAACCTCAATAAATGTGGGAGGGAAAGA